CGTCACTCGGTTGACTGCTAGCACCGATAGTTTTGACATACTATTCTGACTAATGCTGGTAGATGGATATGAAGTCGGCGCCGAAAGCGAGATCGATGCCGAGAAAGGGCACTAAAAACTCGCTCTGCATCGGCAGATGTTGGTGACACCACTCGACACACATTATCGTAGAATGCCCATGAAGCAGAGAGGCCGGCAGGCTTAATATTGTGTATATCGGGGATCACAGCACCAGCAGCTTTCAGCCTGAAATACTCATTGCGGACAAGTTGATAATCTCTGGCAAAATCCACAGCCTTCAGGTCTGGATCATCAACCTTGAGCTTCGTCAAGATCTGAGAAAACTTCGCCTGTACGACGCCGTCAGGATATTCATGAGACATATCCAACAAAGACATCCATGAAGCCTCGTCAATAGGGAAGCGATCCATCAAATGATCAACGAGTGCATCACGGAGAGATGCGAGATCAGTCGAAAGGTTTTGGATATTCTTCAGATGAATCGTTGTCGATTCAAGCAGACCTTGCGCCCCCCCCATAAGTCCAGCGATCGCTCCTGGAGACGTTTAGTTAGGAGACCGCAAGGACGAAGCAAACGGAGAAGCATCAACATATCTTCCGAGTGCTCATCAATGGTTTCCATGAGGAAATCATAGTCTGTGTTGTCTCGAAATTGTCGCCCCTGATTAGAAATGAAAGCAGCTATGGCATCCTTCGAGGAATAGAATATATCCAAACACTGCAGTTTTGAAAGCCATCTGAGATCCGGAAGCTGAGCCACGGTGGGACCAAGGTTACCTACCTGACATCTTGGAGTGCTGCAGGTATTACCAGGCGCCCAAATTCCCCTTCCAATCTTTTCAACTCTTTTCGACGCTGACCTGATCTATTGAATATGTTGTATGCAATTCGAAGGGTTCGTTCAATGCGTTGACATATATTTGACTTTTTCCAAGTATCAGAACTGACCGCCAAGTCTAAGCGGTGAGCCATGCAATGGCAGACTATCCACCCGCCTTCGGGCAAGCTCTTTGTCAGCTGGGCTGCGAGAACCATGGCAGAGGCCCCATCTGACGTCCAGCAGTAACAACGAGATATATCGATGTTGTCGCGAGTATGAAGATCTCTGATTGCCTCCGCGATAGTCGCCCCCTTGCCATCGCCTATGGTGATCAAGTCCCATAAGAGGACTTGGCACCCGCCTTCACTGTCTATGCAGCGTGCGAGCACTGCCAACCTGACTAATAGAGGTGAGCCAAGTATATGACATACTACAACTCACCATTCGTCCGAGTCTATGACAGTGTCAAGTATGATCCCATACATCACAGCATTCCGTATGGTGTCAGCATTCTTTCTCATAATGACTATATCGATACTTTCGATGAATTCCCATGAGCTGTAGCGGGTCACATGGAATTCAGTTGATAAAGAGCTGCCGAGCAATTTGCAGTGCTCTGCAAGGGATTCGAATTTGACTATACTTATTTCTTCCCGAGCAAGCCAAATAGCGTTTTGAACCAAGGGTGAATAACCCATCAGTTTCTTATCCTTCTCAGCTTCCAGTCTGGATGCTTGGCCCTTCCAAAAGCTATTATTAACCTCTCTGGTCGCCGCGAGTTTGATAGACTCCGCGTGGTTACCATCCTTGCCATGGCTCACCACAGTGGATTTTTGCAATCCGTCCGCTGATCTCCATTCCGACCATCTTCCCGCAGTGGGATTCGAACAACACAAAGAACATCGGAAAAGGATCGAACCATCTGCGTCCTCACTTGTTACCAACCAGGAATGTTCCTTCGCCCACTTTGACAGTTTTTGAGAAATACTAAGCACGGGATTGGGCATAGGACCAAGGAGTGGACTGCTATCATCATCAAGATCCAGAATCTTGCTCATTTCCTATGGCGCTGTTCCACAGCCGCTCACGATTCAATCGGGCTGTTCCTTTCCCCGAGTTTGCGCATGCGTGCAAGGTGACGCGCAAGTTGCGTGGCACA